GAGTTTCGAGTTCTTCTGCGGAGTTCTCTGGGTCGAGGAGGCAAGAGGTATAAGAAGGGGCGACGTCCATGTTGGGGCCATGAGCGCACCACACGAGCCATTAGAGCGTATTACAAACACACGACCTGCCCACTCACATTCACGCATCGCATCTTCTTTATTCGCGCGCGCGCACACCGCAAAGCAATCATGAGCCAAGCACAAGGCTATGCGATTCATGATCCGGCCAAGTGGACGGACTTCAAGGTGGAGTCGTTTGATCTGAAACCCGAGACGGAGGATGATGTGACGTTGCGCATCACGGCGTGCGGAGTGTGCGGATCCGACGTTCACACCATCACTGGCGGCTGGGGCGAGTTCAACACGCCATTTGTCATTCCAGGACACGAGATCATCGGCGTGGCGACGTCGGTGGGCAAGAATGTGCCAGCAGGCATCAAGGTGGGCGATAGGGTTGGTGTGGGTGCGCAGGTTGGCAGTTGCGGAAGCTGCTTTCCTTGCAAAGAGGGCGATGAACAGTACTGCGTTGGAGATGACAAGTCGGGAATGGGCGTCATCGATACGTACAATGCAAAGTATCCCGATGGAGCGGTTGCGCAAGGAGGCTACAGCAGCGCCATTCGCGCCCATCACCAGGTCAGTCCGTCCCTCGCTCTCCGAGTGGCGCACGCACTCCCATGAAAGCGCGCCCTCTCACCCATTCCCTCACACTCTCCCTCCTCCCTTCGCAGTTCGTCTTTCCCATTCCCGATCAAATCGTAGACGAAGATGCAGCGTCGATGCTGTGCGGCGGCTTGACAGTCTACTCTCCCCTGCTGCGCAACGGTGCAGGTCCAGGCAAAAAAGTGGCAGTGGTTGGGTTGGGAGGATTGGGACACTATGCCGTGCTCTTCGCTGCGGCTATGGGTGCAGAGGTGACGGTGATCAGCCATTCGCCAAAGAAGAAGGAGGATGCGCTCAAGATGGGCGCCAAGGATTTCATCGCTACGGGAGAGCAAAAGAATTGGTACGAGAGGTTTGGAAGGAACGAGAAGCGTGAGTGCCGGTGCGCGTGCGCGTGCGCAGCGAGCAGGAGCAGGAGCAGGAGCAGGAGCAGGAGCAGGAGCAGGAGCAGGAGCAGGAGCAGGAGCAGGAGCAGGGGCTATGCAATGCAACGGTCTCGCGCACTGTGACTCACGACTGTCGGTCGATGCGATGCTATGCTGACAAACGTGTTTT